ATCAAATAACTGTCAAATAAAAGAAAAAAAACAGCTTCCCTTTCGTAAAAACGAAATGGAAAAAATTTTCTCTTTGTAATGTGATGATGATGATGTTACAACAAAATTTTTTTTTCAACACAAACGCATCTGGTGACTTTTTTAATTGGAACTTTTTTCTCCTAATTAATAGAATATATGAAGGGTTTATGTCAAAAATTTATTCAGCACACCTTATGTATGGCGTAACTTTTGATGTATATATATATCTATCCCTATTAATATAAAATCATATCGCCGCCGCCGCTGTTTCAGAAAGTTTTAAGGGACCCTTATAGTAGGGGGGAACATAGTCAAGGTTGGCCCACTGTCAAGGTAGGTCCATCGTCAGAAACAAGTTATATTTGACCTAAATTCAGGTCAATTTAAGGGCAGTTTTAACCTACAGGTCAAAATTACTCAAAATTTAGGTCAATTTTAAGGGCAGATTCAACCTACAGGTAAAAAACTAACTCTCTGCCCTCAAAATTTAAGTCAATTTTAAGAGTAGTTATGACTTAAAGTTAAAAATTGACAAACTTATCGCTCTGCTTTCAAAATTTAGTTCAATTTTAAGGGCAGTTTTGACCTAAGCATTAAAAATTGCGTTTTACTCTGCCCGTAAAATTTATGTCAATTTTAAGGGCAGATTTAACCTACAGGTAAAAAATTGACAAACAATTCCCTCTGCCCTCAAAATGTAGGTCAATTTTAAGGGCAGTTTTGACCTAAGCGGAAAAAATTGACGAACAATTCCCTCTGCCCTAAAAAATTAGGTCAATTTTAAGGTCAGTTTTCATCTACACCGCAAAAATTGTCGAAAAAACTTCCTCTGACCTGACCTTTCCTTAAAATTTAGGTCAAATTTGACATATTTTTTAGCCTATACATAAAAAACGCAAATTTATTAGGATTTTTTAAAAAGTCGTACCCTTATATTAAAGTTTGACGGAATTTTCGACCTATTGGTTAAAAGAAGTTTGACCTAAATTTCAATATTAAGCTTTAATCAATAAAAGATGTTATAAATTGACATATTTTTTTTTAAAATTCTGTTAAAATTATTTTTCTGTCCTCAAAATGTACTTTAATTTTAATGGCAGTTTTTTCCTACAAGTTAAAATTTGACTAGAAATCTCCCTCTGATCTGATATTTTCTTAAAATTTAGGTCAATTTTAAGGTCAGTTTTGACCTACTGGTAGAAATGAAGCCCACAAACGTCTATTATTTTACGTCGAAATCTTTAGTCCGTCCATAAATAACGTAAGACATTTAGGGGGGAGGGGGGTCAGCAAGATCTTGCGAACAATAGGAAAAATGGCGCTAATGTATGTAAAATATCTTACGAGGGAGGAAGGGGGTCAAATGTACCAAAAAAATGACTTACGTAATTTATGGACAGCCCCTAATGGCCCTTACATTACGTCAACATTTATGTCAACTGCAGGTAAAAAGGGGCCCACTAATACTTTTGACACTGAGAAAAAAGAATTATCAAATTTACTATGAGGAGTGTCAAACTTGAAAAAGTTGACACTATAGTAATTACTTCCGTAAAGTAGAATTCTCTATTAGTTATCTTTTTTAATATCTCCTGTTATAATTTACTCTAACTCATTACTATGCCATCATATATATATCTACCTATATTACAAAAAGATATCGCCGCCGCCGCCGCCGCTGTTTCAAGATTCTGTAAGGGCGCCCTAGCCCAAAGGGGCCGTCAAAACTTATGTCAAAATTGACCTATTTTTTGACCTATAGGTCAAAAATAGGATAAATAACGGCCTCACATTACGTCAAAATCTATGTCTAATTTGACATATTTTTTTACCTGTAGGTCAAAAAGAGGATAAATAAAGGCCTCACATTACGTTAATATAGGTCAATTTTGAGGGCAGTTTTGACCTAGGCGTCAAAATTTGACAAATAATTTCCGCTACCCTCAAAATTTAGGTCAATTTTGAGGGCAGTTTTGACCTAGACAAACAATTTCCGCTACCCTCAAAATTTAGGTCAATTTTAAGGGCAATTTTGACCTACCCATCAAAAATTGACAAACAATTTCCACTACCCTCAAAATTTAGGTCAATTTTGAGGGCAGTTTTGACCCAGACGTCAAAATTTGACAAAGAATTCCCGCTACCCTTAAAATTAAGGTCAATTTTGAGGGCAGTTTTGACCTAGACGTTAAAGTTTGACAAACAATTTCCGCTACCCTCAAAATTTAGGTCAATTTTGAGGGCAGTTTTGACCTACACATCAAAATTTGTCAAACAATTTCCGCGCGCAGACTTAATGATGAGGTGAAGTTTGGCATCTTACCTAACAATGTAAGGTAATTTTAAAATTGTGTTTGCTCTTACACCTATCATTTTGACCTAATTTTGACGTTTTATTTTTACTTCCTCATTTAGTTACGTCATAATCTATGTGTAATTTGACTTTTATTTAACTACAACTTAAAAAGGGACAATAAAGGACAATAAACGTATCTATGATACGTCAAAATCTATTTAAAATTTGACGCCTTTTTAACCTATAGGTTAAAATGGGTCAAAATATATGTCAAAGTTTAATCTAATTTTTGACATATATATAAAAAAGGTCCATAACGATTATTACATTACGTCAAAATCTATGCGTATTTTGTCATGTATTGTATGCAATTTATTAAGATGCATTGATATTAAGAAAAAATTACTTTAAATTTATAAAAATTAAAATTAATAGAAAAATAGAGATAGGGGGTTGGCGCGCGAAGCGCGCAGGGGGGCGAAGCCCCCCTAGTATATATATATATATATATATATATATATGTGTCCGCACAGATTTAGTGGCTCGTGCCAAATGTGCACGAGATTATCTTCAAGGGGGCGATGAAATTAAGGTGCGGAGTGCGACACACCGCACGCGGGATTTTCGTGATTATGATGATGATGAGATGCCGTTTCCTGGAACCGCCCTCGGCGCTTCCGGAAATGCAGTGCATTTGCTTCTGTCAAGCAAAACAGTGGTTACATGTGATGGTCACTCGCATGTACACACGACATTTATGGAGGAGATTCAAAAATTTTCCTCTCTGGCGAATTAACAAAATTTAGAAAATAGATCAACGAGAAGAGAAGTGGTTTTGACGAACGGAAGTGAAATTCTGAATGAATTATATAGCACGAATGCGACAAATAAATGGCATCTACTTAGATCAAAGTAATTTGTTGACAAAGTCATTTTTTTTCTCAGCGAACAACATTATTTTATTCAATTAATATTAACTAAATGAATTTATCAAAATTAGGATAATGAACTTAATAAAAAAAATAATTAAATAGACAAATTTAATTAGTTTCTTTTAGTGTTTAAACAATTTGAAAAAAATTTATTTTTACTATTGTTTACAAAACATTTCACAAAATTATATTTTAACATTACCTTATTTTTTATAAAACATATTTATTTATTTATTTATTTATCATTTAATAAAGTTAAGAAAAATTGTCGAAGTTAACAATTAGTAATTTACAAAAAAATTATTCATGTTAATAATAAATAAAAAATTATAATTATTCAATCAGTTTTTACTTAATTAATTATAAACTTTAATTGCTAAAATTAATTAATTCAACAAGAAATAATTTAAAAATAAATAACAATTTATAAAATAATTCCAAAATAATTACAGATTATGTTTTTTATTTACTATTATTTATATCATATTTTCTTATTGTTGTTTATTATTTATTTCTTCTATTATTATTTATCACTTTTTCCTCCAAATTGATTTTACGAAAAATTGTTTATAAACTTTTTTCTTATATCTACACTTATTTCTATTTAGGTATTATTATTTTTATTTTATTTTGTTATTTTTTCCTATTATTATCATATCTTATAGATTATTTATTTATTATTTATAATTCACAATTTTCTAAAAACAAATTTTTGTAAAAAATGTTTAATATCTTATCTTCTCATTCTTATTTATTATATACATAGTTTTCTAAATGTTCGCATTTTTTATAATTTTTATTTATTATTTTTTTAAGAAACTTAGATATACGTGAAGTTAATCGCTTGTGAAAATCGCAATTTGAATGAAAACTTCAGTGGGGAAAAAAATGGACAGCAATGATTCAAAATGACAGTTACTACTAAATTTAAACAACAAATTTTTTGCATTTTCAAATAGTTTGGCATTAAAACAGTACAAAATTTACCAGTTACAAATTAATAATATTCTCCTATGATGTTTTATAAACCACATTAATGTCAACTATCCAGGAAAATTTACCCCAAAATGAAAATCAATCAAGTGACGTAGGTTAGAATATATTTTTTTCTATAAAAACATTTAAATACAATTACAATAATCATTATTATTTTTATTATTATTAATATTTTAATTCTTACATTTATTATAAAAATTAATTAGAAAATCCAATTTTTAAATATACATTTAAATAAGTACATTCTTTTGAAAAATTGTTATTATATTTAAAAAATAAATTAGATAATCTTCCTTCTTTTCTTATTTTTATTATTTATTTATTACTTTTCCTATTATTTACATTTCATTTTTATTAATATATAACTTTAAATAAATGTTTCGCTTGCTATTCAAAAAAAATGAATTCAAGTTTGTTTTGCTTTTAAGAACACTAAACTTTTTTAAAAAAAAAAACATAAATTAACCGCTTCCTCTAATTAGTTATAATTGGAGGATTTTGTTGAAAATTTCCTATATTAAAACATAATTAGACGAGAGATTGAAATTAATGATTAAAAAAAATGTAAAAAATATCGAGCGATAAATTAATAAATTAAACGAAAAATGAATTAACATTACTTGCCTTCTAATTGGCACAGTGATAAGTGATCAATTTTTTTTTCAAATTATATCCATTTTTTTTTTAATGTCAAAAATAAATTTACTGTAAAAATTAAAAAATGTTGTAATTGAATTATAAATTCCTTGGACTAGCGACCAACCGTGACGATGAGGATTCTCCACTTGATTCTAAAATCGAAATCAACAATAAGCCGGAGGAAGAGAGTAAGCGGAAGCTTATTTCGATGCTGAAAGAATACGAATGGGACAAGAAAGATGAATCTCAGGAAAAAGAAGCGAATTGCCCGAAGGATGTAGAAAGTGGTAAATGTCTTTTTTATTACCTAAGAAAAAACCAAGGAGCGTTAAAAAAGCAATTTTAATTCTACAAATATTTCACTGAAAACAAATTATTTATTTATAAATAAAAATATAGAATATAATATAACTTTAAATAAGAAAAATGTAACGAAATTTTTATTCTGGGGGTTGATTATGTGATTTCCTTTCTTGACTTTAATTTTCACTTTCACTTTGAAAAATTTCTACTTTCCCTTTCATTTACACTTTTAGAGATATTTATTTTTTCTTTGCTTTTTTGCTATGGATTTTTATTTTCATTTGCACTTAGACTTTTACTTGGAGAGATTTTTATTCTCACTTTCTATCAAAGTCAAAGTCAAAATAAAAATCTATCAAAGTAAAATTAAAAATGAAAGTGAAAATAAAAATTTACCAAAAGTGGAAATGAAAGTGCAAATACGAATCAATAAAAGTTAAAATAAAAGTGAAAATAATAATCTGTTAAAGTGAAAGCGAAATTGAAAATTAAAATCTATTAAAGTATATAAATAAAATAGATTTTTTTAAATAAATTTTTTTTATTATTTTGGATTCATTATTATTTTAAAAAAGTTAAATGAAATCAACATTATTTAATAGAAAGCGGCTCGAATAATGTCGGAGACATATGTCGAATATGTCACATGGGAAATTTTCCACCTCTACGTGTAAATCGAACATTATGGGAAAGAAGAACTCAACATAATCGTCAAATTGATATTCAAGCATCAAGTGGATCAAATTTTTCTTACTTGGGTCCTTTAATTTCCGCCTGCAAGTAAGATTACAACCACGATTTTTTTACTTTTCAATTAAATAGTGAATTTCGAAAAGGACTCAAAAATTGATTGGAAAAATGTCTCTTACTGTAATTAAAGTTTGCCCCTTTTCGAAATTCACGATTCAATTATATTTCTTCAAAAAAATGTCTCTCCTAAATTAGTAATTAGAACTACACTGAAACCCCCGAACTTTATCAACTCCCTCGTCTATTTGCCTTAATATTTCACTCTTCTTTTCAATATCGAATGTCACGTATTTTTATTTTCGATTAATTTTTAAATTTTTACATGCAAAAAATAAAGCCACAAAAAAGGAACATTTTAAATTTACGCTACTGCGACCATCCAAAAAAGTCCACATTTTCTTTATTAAAATTATTTTTTCGATAAATTATTGTATAATAATGTATAATAATATTGTATAATAATTCTATAAATAGTATTTATAGAATTAAAATACAATTTAGAAATTAATAATTACGAAGAATTTTTATAATTTTTTAACTTAATGACATTAGATGAATAGTTTCTAAAAGATTAAATAAAAAGATTGGATTTATTTGTGGAATTTGTGAAATAGTCTCATGTTATTGTATTCGATTGTCACGTATTCCTAAATTAGTAATTAGTTTAAAGTTTATAATTTAGAAGAAAATATTTAATTTTTTAATCCAGGGCAACTGAATTTATTCCAAAATATCAAATTGAGACAAAAAACATATCAAAATTGTCACAAACAATTTTTAACCAATTTGAGTGTTAAAAAAATTGTTGGATGTAGACAGTTTTGAACAGTTAATTGTAGAAAAAACTTCCACTGTAAAGCGTAGCGTAGCCCGCGAGCAGTTTGCAAGCAATTTTTGAAAATTTCTTTAAACTCCTTAAACTCAACAGGCTTATCTCATGACTATTGGAAAAATTTTCTTTATAAATTATCAGGTATAAATAAATAAATAATTAAAATTAATCATGCCTAAATTTAAAAAAATTAATTTGTTTATGAAAAAATAATTTTTTTTAACACATTAACGCCTGAATGCACTGAATTTTTAGTCTGACTTCAAACTTAAATATTTTTTAATAAACATACTATTTTCTTTTCGGACAAATTTTTTCTTTGTGTATTAGAGTGTCCTCTATTCGAATGTGGTGTCAAAAAATTATTTAAAAATTGTTTAACAATATTTTTTTGCATATAATTAAAAAACTTCACCATTTTTTAAAGATTTTTTATTAAAAATTCTTAAATTTAAAAGTCAAAACAATTTTTTTAACAGCTAATATTTCCATAAATCGTGCACTCGATTGTTACAGTTTCAAAATATCTGTTAACCTTTTCAATATAAACTTTCGATTTTTCAAAATGGCGCCTAAAACATAAAAAATTTATGAAAATATTAAATTTATTGTTCGATGTGCAATTTCTTCAGAAATCTGTCCTGAAACTATTTACTCGAGGGTTATCGAGGTCGCCAAAATTCAAAATGTCGGATCCAATATGGTGAAAAAAATTTTCAAAAATTGTTTTCAGGACAGATTTCTGAAGAAATTGCACATAGAACAATAAATTTAATATTTTCATAAATTTTTTATGTTTTAGGCGCCATTTTGAAAAATCGAAAGTTTATATTCAAATGGTTGACATATATTTTAAAAGTGTAACAATCGAGTGCACGATTCAGTTCATTCAGGCGTTAATGAGTTAATTAAAAATTGAAAACAAAATTTTCATTCTTTGGCAACTTTTTTCTAAAATCAATATTTTCAGATTTAGATAATCTTCTGAAAATAGGTCTACGTTTACAATTCCAGAATTTCGAAAATTTGGGCAAAATTATACAAAAATAAAAAAATACGTGTATCATATATTATTTTTTACAAAAATAAATAAATACATATTTTAGTTATCATTTATGTACAAAGTCGTATTTATGCAATAATTAAGAAACATATAAGTTAAAATATTATATCTAAATTGTGTTTCCTGCTGCTTTATTTTTTTAAAAAAAGTAATAAATAAGGTCTACAATGTTTCATGCAAATAACAGGTTAAAAATTTTCATACTAACGAGGGAATTCAGTCTACTTAAATGTCAAATATTGAATAAAGTTTATATGGTAATGTTCTTGATTTTCTTTATACAAATTGGGTTGCATTGTCGTAGACTTGTGATTTGTTGTAATTTAAAAATTTTTGAAAAAATATAAAACATAATAGATATCTAATAGAAAGATAAAAGAATAAATATACAAAGGAAATGGGGGATTATTTGAAAGAATGCGAGTCATCATAAACTATTAGTTTTATTAGATTTTTAAGAAAATGTTATTTCACAAAATTATGTAGCACAACTTTAATTTGTCTAAAAATCATTTTTGAGTAAATAAATTGAAATTTAAAGAAGTTTAGAATATTAATTTATGTAGTTCAGTGAGGATGCAATAAAGCAATTAAAAAGCCATTCGCCTCGTTGCACTTGCTCTAAACGCCAATCAAGTTAACTTTCCTATCACGAGACAATCACTGCACACCATCATTATAAAGTTTCGCGCTGCACGTCACGTCGAACATCAAGGAAGTCACGGTCTCTTGAGGAAGAGAAGCGACTTTATTCCACTGGGAATTGAGTCCCACGCGCAAGAACTGTTCCGTTGCTCTTCCTCGCGAATCGATTAACCAATCGATCTTCACACAAAAGAAAAAAATCTTCCTTCTGTTTCTTATTTCAAATTCTTGCTAATGCTTATACATGTATATATATAACTTGAGTAGTCTTGGCAAAATTAACGTGATGAATATTAAACACTTTTGTTATTTTGCCTCCTTTATCTTATACAAGAATCATGAAAATCATCTTCGGTATAATACAGCAGAAACATAAAATTTACGATATTTTAAAATTGAAAAAAAGTTTTATTATCTTTTTATTTATTTTAGTATATTCCAAAATTGAATGGAAGAATTGTTTTTGGAACTATTAGGTTTTAAAACAATTTTATTTATCATTACAGATGTCGAGGAACTGTTGGTTTGGTTCACGTGGAGTGTCTTGAGAGATGGCTGACTGAATCTGGACACAGTAGGTGCGAATTATGCGGTCACAAATTTTCTACAAAGAGAGTTCCGAGACACAGTGTTTATCAGAGCATTGGGATTTGGTTTAAAACAGTTTTCGCAACTCGTCAGGTAATTATAAATTACTATTATTCGAAAATATTCCTGATACGTGGAGAAACTAAATAAAGTAAGTTTTATTATTTTTAAAGTAAAACTTACACGAACAGAAACTTCTACGCATTTTTGGCATTTGTTTTTTACTATTTTTGAAGTAAAAATTATTACGATCGAAGTACATTTTTGAAAAAATTAGTAAAATGTACTTCGAGCGTAACAAAGTTCGCTTTGAAAATAGTAAAATGAATGCGCAGAAGTTTTACTTATTGTAAAAAAAGGCTTTAGTATTACTGATTACTACTATTCCTGACTACATAGCTAAAAAAAATTATAGCTCCTGTTTAAGACTATGACTGATATAGCTGAAGTACTTTTAGGATTATTGATTAGCACTCCTCTTAATTAAAGCTAAAATAATTTATTGTTTCTATACTTATTGCAGCTAAAGTCATTACTAATTACCTACTAGGTACTACAGGGTGTCTAGCGACCTGGAATTTCTTGAAAACCTGGAAATGTCCTTGAATTTTTTTTACCTGTAAAAGCTGGAAAAGTTCTTGAATTTTTCAATTGGTCCTGGAATTTTTGAATACTTAAGTAGGAATTTTTTTCTCAACCACCTTTTTGGAAACGCAAAATTAGATGAAAGTGTTCATAAACGTTCTTCCTAAACATAACTTAATTTATGAATAAAAGTTGATTTTAATAAAATGCATACTTAATATTGTTTAATAATGCGGTCAAAATGTAAAATAAACTTAGTAAACAAACACCCCTAACCTTAAAATTTTTATTTTATTACAAATTCAGAGAATTCAACAATGCTATTGAATCAGATATACAGTGCCGGCCAGTAGGATTTTTCCATCCTACTGCAAATCAAAACATTACAAAAAGTTATTTATTTTAATTTCTAGTAGAGATAGAAAGTTGGTTACACTGCAAAAATAAGTGTCTTATTTGATATCTTAAAATAAGATATAAGATGGAAAAATGGTATTTTACATCTTAAAATAAGATGTTTTCTAAAGTATCTTACTGATTTTTAAGATGTTTTATACGTCTTAGATATTTCTTCTATCTTAAAAAAGTAAGATACTTTTGTAAGTTCTTTAAAGTATCTTAAATTAAGATGTTTCTGTTGCAATAAGATGTTTAGCGATAAGTTACTTGAGAATCGTAAGATGCGCCCACTCAGGAGACAAATTTAATTCTTGTTTCCAGCGTTTCCCGCAAGGAACGCCACTTCTGCCACGCTCTAAATTTTGATCATCGTGTTCCCTAAAGTGGGGACATATTTTCCGTAGATTAAGCATAGAGTGAAGTCTCCTTATTATTACTTCATGCCTAATACTCAACAGACCCTGAAAATTCAGGGTGAAAGTAGGGTTTAAATTTCGACTCGGGATTCTTCATTGTTTAAATGCAATTAGCAATAAACAAAATTTTTAATATTCTTTTGGGTAAATTTTAAACAAATGTAGTTTTTAACAATCACACATAAATTTCATGCATTTGCAATTGAAAGCTTCTTTTGTCGCCTTTCAAATTCTTTTTTAACCCCTTAGCAGTGTAGTCAAAATAAGCTTTTCGTGCCACAAATGTGCAAAAAAAAATTTTTTTTTTAATCACTTGATATTATTATATTTTATGTTTTCGGGGTTGCTGAATCCGAATATTTGATCAAAATTTAAAAATTCAAAATGTCGGCTCCAAAATGGCGGCTTAAAAATTTAAAAGTTTTCGTATTTGACTAAAAATACTCACTTGGGGGTTTTTGGGGTCGCTGATTTCGAATATTTGGTTAAAATTTTAAAATTCAAAATGGCGGCTTCAAAATGGCGGCTTAAAAAATTTAAAAGTTTCCGTATTTGACTAAAAATGCTCACTTGGGGGGTTTTGGGGGTCGCTGATTTCGAATATCTGGTTAAAATTTTAAAATTCAAAATGGCGGCTCAAAATGGCGACCGAAAAAATTTTTAAGTTTCCGGATTGGGCTAAAAATGCGCATTTGGGGGTTTTTGGAGTCACTGAATTAGAATATTTGGTTAAAATTTTATAATTCGAAATGGCGACTTCCAGATGTCAACTAAAATTTTAAAAGTTTACTAATGTTGTTATAAATAGTTATTTGAGTCTTTTGGGGTTTATATTTTTATATATGTAAATATATTATATTTTTATATTTATATATATTTACACAAACTATTTAAAACACCGCTCTTAGTCGAATCCGGAGTCACAAACTATTTAATTTAATTACTATTATTAAATTTTTTAATATAGATCAATTTTGAGTATTTCACAATGTTTTAAAACATCGGACATATTAATTCCTCTGCTTTAAGTTTTAAGAACTAATTCGAGAACTTAAAATTTTTTGGTCGACATTTTGGAACCGCCATTTTGAAATGAATTTTTGATTAAATATTTGGATTTAGGGACCTCAAAAACCCCCGAATGAGCATTTTCAGACAAATTCGTAAACTTAAAAAAATTTTTGGTCGCCATTTTTAAGCCGCCATTTTGAATTTAAAAATTTTAACCAAATATTCGAATTCAGCGACCCCAAAAACCCCCAAGTAAACATTTTTAGTCAAATCCGTAAACTTTTAAATTTTTTTGGTCGCCATTTTGGAGCCGCCATTTTGAATTTTAAATTTTTGACTAAATATTTGGATTTAGAGACCTCAAAAACCCCTGAATGAGCATTTTCAGCCAAATTCGTAAACTTAAAAAAATGTTTGGTCGACATTTTGAATTTAAAATTTTCAATAACGGATTTGGATTCAGCGACCCCGAAAACCCCCGAGTAGGCATTTTTAGCAAGATTCGTTAACTTTTATATATCTTTTTTTTCGATGCCGCTATAGCGGTCATACACACTGGGGGCACGAATTATTTTTGCCTCTATAGACGTCAAACACTGTGAAGGGGTAAAAACTTATTGTACGATAATTTTTAAGAAATTTATTATCATTTTTTTTAAACACAGCCTATTTTTTAAATTATTATAATTTTAAAACAGTTGATTTAAAAAAAAAACTTATACGACAAAAATGTTCTTTTTCATATATGTAGAGTTAGAGAAAAAATATTTAAAAATGTTTTAAAATACATTTTTTTACCACACTTTGACCTTACATTTTTAGTTATATATTTACACGACGTACAAACATGAAGTAAATATGGTAAAAAAAATGTTTAATATCTTTTCCTAATTCTACATATAAAAATGAACATTTTTGTCTTACAAGTTTATTTTCTAAATCAACCGTTTTTAAACTTTCAACAATTAAAAAAATAGGCTGTTTTTTTTAAACAAATGACGATAAATTTCTGAAAAATTATCGTGCAATAATTTTTAAAAAAGCATTTGAAAGGTGAAAAAATATACTCTCAATTGCTATGCATGAAATTTATGTGTGATGACTTGTTAAAAAACTACATTTGTTTAAAATATTACAAATTTTGTTTATTGCTAATTGCATTTAAATGAAGAACATGTTTTTTAATTTATTATTTTGATATTAAGAAAGTAGGAAATATTAGCTTTGAAATGATAGGGGAAAGGCTTACAAGTTGTCCGGCTTGCAGGTTGTCCCACTTGCGTTATTTTTTATTGTAGAAATTCCATAATTAAAAACGCGACTGGTATTATTGTCGAATGATTAGTTATTACTTTTTATGATCTTTTGGTGCAAAAAGAAACAATAGAAATGTTATTGTTAAACAAATTCTGAAATTGACTTGTGCAAAAATTAAAAATGTGACTTTTTCATGTGCTTACAAAATAATTAATTATTTATATATATAATTAATTTAAGTTACAATTTCTTTCTGAGTTGCTTTTTTAATCAATTTTGATAATCCAAAAGGAATTTTCAAAATATCATGAATTAATATTTTTTTTCATCGATTTAAAAAAAGAGTTCAAAATTTATTTTCAATTAAAAAAAAAAATTTTATTTAAAAAAAAATTTATTTCTTAATAAATTGTTTAAAAAATTAAAATTTAAATTATTATGTTCAGAAACATTAAATGTAAGTGAAATTTAATAAATTTTCATAAACTTATTTGAGTTTTTTCATATTATTATCAATTTTTCAAGGTGGGCCAACCTGCAAGCCTAAATTTCGAAACGTTGATTTTACATCATTTTTAAAAATTAAAGTAAAAATTTTATATTTTGCTAATTTAAATTATCTATATATTATATGTTTATTCATCTAAATTTCAAAATTCGCCATTGAAAATCACTGATGATTTTTTGACTGATTCAAATTTAGAAATTCTATTGTTTCTGATTACTCCGACTCATTACTCCAATTTAATGAAGCTGAAACTAGCACAGTTATCAGTGTCCTCTTAAATTTGTAAATTAAATTTATTTTGTAATTAAATTAGTTTAAGTCATTATTTTTAGTAATTAAATTGAGGAGCAAGTTTTCAAAAGCTGATAAATCCATTTTTTTAAAATCGAGATAAACATAAATTTAATAATTTAAAGACCTCACAAAACGTCCTGTCACTGTTAAATTTAGAAAAGAAATTGATTAATAACGAATTTTTAATTTAAAAACTTTTTGACATAACCAAGATGACTTGTAATTTTTATGTTTTTTATTAGAAAAATTACCAAAACCTTTAAATCACTTAATTATGTTAAAGTTTAATTGAAAACAGAACGTCTTAAATATAAAAACATTGTTATAACAATAAAAAATATTACAAATTTTGTATTTGAAAATTAACTGTAGTGGATATGTCAGGAAAGTAATTTGTTTCAATTTCTCGAAATAAGAAAATATGGATTTATCAAGTTTTGAAAACTTGCTCCTCAATTAGTTTAATTAACTTTAGTAATTAAAGTAGTTAAAGCAATTGATTTTAGTATAGTTATATTAGTTTTAGTAATTGATTAATTTTTGTAATAAATTAGTTTATAAAATTATAAATAAAAATGATTGTTTTGCTATTCAGATGATGCTGGACATTCTCTATCTCGCCGCTACCACACCATTGGCCCTGTTTTCAATCTACGTTTGCGCTCTCGCCTTGAAATTAATAGTAAAAAGTGGAATTTACGAAGTACCATGGATGGTAGTAGCAATGCTACCAACATGCTCATTGACATTGATTGCCTACTGGGGCTGGCTCATAACACTTGGAAGGTACATCACCAGGTATTAACCCTGTTGGTTAACAATAACTTTTTACTCTCTTAAATAATTATTATTAGTTCGACTATATTACGTTCAGTTCACTGAAAAAATCATATTCTTAATTTAAGAATATAATCTTGGCTTCTATTTAAGTATATTTTTAATGTATTTTATTCTTAAACTTAGAATATAATGCCTATTGCTTAAATAAGAAACAGTTCTTAAAATCAGAAATATTCTTATTTTAAGAAACTTTTTCCTCTTTTAATAAATAGTTATTATAAAAAAATTAATTATAGGTATTAACACTATTAACAAACGATAAGATATTTTTAACTAAATGTTTGGTAATAAATATCATTGTTACCATCAGTAACTATTTTATTGCTATCAAATAAATAAATTATTAATTTTTTAATAAGTTAAGAGAGTAAACGAACATTTCAAATCTTAAATTCAAAAATTTCCAAAGAATACAACCAAAAATTTTAAAATTGAATTCAAATTTTCTATATTTTTCAACATTTTTCCCTAAAATGTTTTAGTGAATGAACAAATAGTGTTTCATTAACTTTGACTAATTTTTATTTTAAATCAATAGATAAATTATTATTATTAAAAGAATAGTATAATATTATTTTAATAGTTTAATTTTTTAATAGCCTTTTTTATATTCATATAAAGTATATAACTAAAACTGAAATATTAATAAAAATATAAAATATATTTGAAAACACCAATGAGGCAATGAATGAACACTCTGAACGAGTAAATAGATATACCTACATATATTTTAATACATTTGTTTCATAATTTTTATACAAATAAAAGGAACCTTCAGAAAATGTTAATTAATAATTTTTTCTTAGAAATAATTTTAATGCTTAATTATTATAGATTTTTTTATCAAGTGTTCATTCACTGGTAATAAAAATTAAATAATAAATAAATATTAATAAATATTTACCCTAATAATATTTTGAAATAATGTAAAAAAATGTTTAACATTTTCAAAAAGTTGTAAAGTATTCAAAAATAAAAAAAAATGTTTAAGAAACGGCAATAAATGCAAAATACTTAAAGAATAAATTACAGATTTCACAGTAGAAGATGGCAAACATTTTGGAGGCACAATTTTATTGTGAGATTGGTACCCGAAAATGTCAATGAATTAAGAGATGTAACGAGAGATTCTGATGATTTGCCCGATAATGCAGAAGAAATGGAGTTGGACCAGTGGCAAGAAGAGGATATCAGTATTTTTTTGAACGTAAATTAACGCTACATACATATATGAAAGTAAGATAAGACATCTTTTGCGCGAATACTAAAGATATATTCATTCTACACTGGACTCACCCGCTTTGCAAACTTTAAATATGTATATACATACACACAACACAGCGACTCGTTTGATTGCATTTCATTAAATTTACCCTTCCTTAATCATTCCGTTAATTAAAGACCATCGCTCGTGTACAGGAAATAATTTACGGATGCGCAAAGATGCTTTAACGTGTAATACTGATTGGTCATAAAAAAACACCATCGTGCAAAAATTATTCTTCCTCCAAAAAGAGTGAAAAAAATGAATATACTTATATTTTTAGAATATATTTATTTAAAGCACAGAACAAATTTTCCTTATTTATTACCCTACTTAACTAATTAGCAGCGAAATTAGCATAAAATTTCTTTAATTGTTTATTTTTATATAAAAAGCTTTTTTTTTGTAAAAAATTTACATAAATATTTTTTCAATTAGTAACTATTATATCTTATTGTCATCTAAAAAGGGATATTTGTCAATTCATACAAGGTTGGATATAACTTGTATCAAATAAAAAATACTTTTTAAAATAAAAATACTAATGAATAAATAAATTTTTCAATTATCTAATTAAAATGAAAAATTTTAAATAATTACAAACAAAAATTGTTTCATTTTAAATAACAATAATATTATTAAACTAGCTGTCGTACCCGTCTTCGACGGGTTTTAGTTTCTACCAATACATTTAAGTTTCTACCAATCTGGAAAATCAGGAAATAGCTAGGGAATTTAATTTAACCGGAAAAAAATAATAATTAGTTACCATTATAGCTATTTTAGTAGGAAAATATTACTATTTGAATCAGTGATTGACTTTTTGTTATCAAATTAGTTATTTTAACCAATTCAAATGCAGAGAACAATATTTATCAATTTGTAGTACTTTAATTAATGTATTAAAAAAATTAAATTTTCCATACAGTTTTTGGAGTTATAGTAGAGTCTAATTGGAACTAATTGTATCGCAAGTAGACCCTACGTTACGACTGCTAAAACCTAACATAAGACCTAAATTTTAGGCTGAAAGTAGGGCTTAAATTTTGACTCGGGTCTGTTTTCATAAATATTATACATCAATAAAAATTGAAGTAAAAAGCAATTTTTTAAAAGCGAATTAATATAATGAAACTTTTTCTTAATTTGATAGGAAAATTCCCGGTTCGGCATATTCCCAGCTTTTTACAGTTTTTCCCGTTTGGTAGATACCCAGTTAAATGTATTAGTATAAACAGAAAACTGTACGACAGCAAGTAATACAATCTATATTTATATGAACTTAAGAAACAGTATTTTCATAAAATAAGTAAATTTTTATAGCCATTTGTAGATTTATTTATGGATAAAATCAAGTAAATTTAAATTTGACAAAAAAGAGATAAACCGTGAAAAGTTTGGACAAAGCAGGGAATTTTGTTAAACAAAAATAGACACCGTGTTAACTTTTGTCTTTACATTGCTCAAAACATCTCTTAAAGTTAAATCTAGAGTTAAAATGAAAAAACGTTTTAACATGTAAGTTTTTGCCTAGTGGCATAATATGCTTGTATTGTATCACAGGTGACTTACAATTCTTGACATCCTGCGAAATCATTTTAATCATAAAAAATTTCCATTTTCAATATTTCTGAACTTCTTGAAAATATTAGATTGATTTGATAAATAATTTTGAATTGCACTATTTTGACATCAAAATATTAATCAGAGACTCCAAAAATACTACTGAATTATACTTCATATAGTAATTAGTATCGATTTTTGATATATTGAAAATTTTTTTATATTTCTTGTAGGATAGTATTTTTTGCAAAATTATGATAAAATCTGACTAAATAACATATAATATTCATTTTAGAAAGTTTAAAAGCTATCCATTAAAAATTGTGAAATTTGGAAATTTTCCATTTTTCAAGTTTTTGAAAATATTTTTATATTTACATCTTAGTTGTAGAATAGTATTTTTTGAAAAATTATGCTAAAATGTGACCAAATAACATGTAATACTCAAATATAGAAAGTTTAAAAGCAATCCATAAAAAAATGTAAAATTTTGAAATTTTCGATTTTTTGAAAACATTTTTATACTTACATATTAGTTATAGGACTTTATTTTTTGCAAAGTTATGCTATAATGTGACTAAATAACATATAATACTCAAGTATATAAACTTCAAAAGCAATCCATGAAAAATAAAAAATTTTGAAATTTTCGATTTTTTGAATTTTTTGAAAAAATTGAATATCTCCCGTTCTAATTAATATTTTTTAAATCTGTAAATTTATAAACCTTCCTTGGGTCAATACCTAATAACCTACCAAGTTGGACTTAAATCGATTCACATGTTTTTGTGTGATTGGGGTACAAAGTTTTTGTGACAGACAAACATACATACATACATACATACATACATACATACATACATACATACATACATACATACATACATTAAATTTTTTAAGAACATTTTTGGAATCTCTGATGTCCATAATAACTAATCATGTTAACATTTTGAAGTTTTAAGCAATGTACAGACAGACATCTGATTTTATTAATAAGGATACTACTACTATTATTATTAAAGAATATCATAAATTATAATTGCAAAATAATTTCAAAATAAAAAATAATTATATTAATACATAAATATAATATTAAATAATAATAAATGTAAATAATATTAAAATATAAAATTAATAAAAAAATAATAATTACACTATGACATTAATAATATTAATTATATTATTATAATAATTATAATAGTCGTTTGCAAGATACGTTGAAAGGAAATAATGAGTAAATTTAATGTAGCAAAACTTAGAGGGGGCTTTCTTCACGATTCTTTCTAACTGGCTGTGTCCCTTTCTTGATTTCCCTTTTCAGCTCTTCCTTTGGTTAACTCTGTCCTAGCGTTCATTAAAACACACGATTAAATTACTTAAGATCGTCAATTATTTTATTAAGCGGAAATTTTACTTGATCATCTTTCTATGATTACAGCCCTTTACAAAATAAAATATTCTTTTCTTTCATACTCTCAAGAAATAAATCTACTTAAATTATTTCTCTAATATTTTCTTCTTTGATGTTTTTTATTTTATGTAAAAAATAATTTAAGAATGATGTTTTGGGCACGAGAGCGTATAGTGTTGTAAAATCATAAAATATTGCCAATTACTACTCAATTCGGAGTGGTGAAATTTATAGTCGATGATATAAATGTTATCGGGATAAGGTGAGCGCTTGTTATTGTGTAAAATACAAAGAAGCCATAAGAAACTCCATCAGTTTTAGCATCATGACAATAAATTTATTCCTGATTGTTTGAACTTTACTGTTTCGTGTAAAAATAATTTCGGCATGATTTTCCAATGGGCAATGTAACCTTACCAACTGTGGTTTAAATTTATAGTATAGTTTAAATCAATAGCAAATCTCAAAGTAACTTGAACTAAATGGTAGATTTGGGACGCATAACGATTCCCGAGAAAAATCCTGTATAATATTCCACATACCTTATTTTCATATTTCAAAACATCGTTTTCTTGTAATTTTCTTTTATAAAAATTAGAATTTATAAAAGAATATTCCAAGAAAAGGAAGTATTTAAATATGAAATAAGATCTGTCGAATATTATACCGGATTTTATACGGGAATCGTCATGCAACCCGTTTGAGTAAATCTGAAATTTTCAATCATGACTTTCGAGAGTTTAAGAATTTTTTTTCTGCATTCTGACAAAAAAAGTATTTACATTTAATGTATACTGTTGTAAAACACTTCAACAATATTTACCTCAAACGGGAAATTAAAACACTTCAATGTACATAAATTTTACTGGTTAAAAACTGGCGATGGGTATATATTATAGCCCCTCGGTAAGTTTAGGATTTACTAAGAAGATAACCAAATAAATTATTTGTGGTCATGTCAGTAAATTTTTGTTGTTCGGGTCAAACAATTTTCTCAGTGTTGAATCTACAGAACAAAATTCAGAATTTTAAGTTTTGAGCAGAATAAAACGCGAACGGGTTGTAAACATGCTATAAAAAAGAAAGAAGATATTTCTGTTCTATTACATGCTTACGTTCACGTTACTGTTTCATTCTGCTTTGGATTTTATTCAACCACAATTTTTCCAATGTATACCGACCGAGAATCATGGTATTTAGTTGAGTGGAAGGCTGCTAGGAGGCTACAACGCGTCACTCAATGCAAAATGTCTCTCGCAAGTTGTGACAGAAAGGCTGTAGTTAGTATATAAGGACAAACTTTGCTCCACCTTTCGTACTTGCTTCGGCAGTACATATACTAAAATTGGAACGATACAGAGAAGATTAGCATGGCCCCTGCGCAAGGATGACACGCAAAATCGTGAAGCGTTCCACATTTTTTTTGTCCTTTTTATTTATAAATTGACTATAAATTTATTATTAGAAGTTTGTTTAATTCCATTTTTAATTTTTAGAGTTGAAAATTTTAAGATTATAATCTACTAAACAAAATAATAGGGGAGAGTGGAGCAAAGACGCTATGCGCGGCAAAGACGTTTTTTAAAATATCTCCATTATTTTCTGTCTATTCCAATTGGTATTAAAAATTAAGTTGCAATGCAATCAGACCAATTGATTAAAAAAAGAAAAACCTAAAAATATCAAATATTTTAAGAAATATAACAAAAAAATTGTTTTGCAAAAATAAAATGATAATTTTACTGAACAAACTCTTATTTTTTAAAACATAAGTTTAAGTATTTAATTTTTAAAAACATAACATAAATAAATTAAATATTTCTCTACACAACTGGCGTGGTGTTTTATAGTTTAATTTTGTATCTAAATATTTTAAATTTAAAGTAAAAAAAAGTTTGTTATGTGGGGCAAAGGCAATATTGAACATAATTTGGTTAAAAATAATTGAATATTCGAATTTCTATGTATTAATTCACAATATAAGGTTAAAATCACTCAAAGTTTTTATTTTTTATTTAAATAGTTTAATTCTTTTAATAATATGTTGTTAACATTATGTTTCGTAAATATTATACTAATAAATATAACTTGTTAATTTTTTTAAGGCTTATAAATGCTTTCATTTAGAAATATAAGCGAAAACGTCGCTGCCCCAGCATGTGGGGCAAAGGCATTTTTTGCATTGTTTTTAAATTTCATTAAATAATGAATTTATAATTATAATATACTAAATAACAACTATTAAAATTTCTTGTTGATTAGTTT